GACAATTTATATTACCTGAACTCGGTCTTCGGGAAGATCGATGGAGTAAGCTATGCATTCCCTTGCAATTAAATCAGGATAACAGTTCATGGCGAACATCGACTCCAATGAATCTTCTTGATATTTGGTGTAGTACGTACGAACTCTGCGACCGGTATTTCTACGGCGAAGTGTATATAATCTGGATGCACTACGTTTAATCAACGAAATATCTGCGTTACATGTTTCTATACTTTTTTCTATATATACTTGAATATCAACAATATTACAAATATTTTATCTGTCGTTTACTTGCGGCCTGGTAGGTATATACCGCGATTAGAATTACAATGTCTTTGTCGCAATTGCTTACAGTTGGAAGAGGTACTGTAACAGTGGCTATTATTTGATGCTGCGTGTATGTATGTAAGTGTTCCGGGGGTACTGCACCATAGAAAGAAAAGAACTCTATGGTATTTTAGAGAAGTACAATTTAATTTATTCCGTCATTTAAAATATTACCATGTTATTCAAGCATTATTTAAGAATATTCTAGTGATATTAGTCATCATACATCTGTCACTGTAACGCCATAATTTACAGCGTGCCGTAATTTTGCTGTATATTTTATATTGCGGGATATGTTTATCCTACCATATTAGGAAATGCAAATTCCAAATATGGAATAAATACGCGCGTAAGCGTTCTCTAATAATAAAAACAAACACGGCTGCCACCGGAGTTTGTCCAGACTCCACACAAAGAACTCCGCTGATTCGGTTCAACATTTTAGAAGGAAAAGATGTATAATAATCCAAATAACATATGGTTGTTACGAGGATACCTCAAAGTTTGCACTCAGACAGTACGTTGCGCACCGAACTCCGCTGCGCGTCGGTCGATACTCCAGCTGTACTATCTTCGTGCATTCTTTGAGGTATCTTCGTAATAACCTTAATAATAATAAATGTTAATTGAATCGCATATACCAGCGGTATACCAAATACAGATTGAATTGTCTCGTTAGAGACGCACAACGGCAATAGAAATACATGATACGCGATTTGATACAAAAAAAATATCAAATACATTTGTCGTTCTATATTGATGGAAATTAATGTTATGAATTCATACCACGTGACTCTCTGTATATGCACAATGTAATCACCAGCATCACACAAAGCTCTGAATGACAATGAAATACAAACGATTTATTCAACAATGTATTACTAGTGAATAGGTACCTCATTACGTCCACATTCAGTCTTCGTTGTGATTGTATAATTACTTTCACATCCGTATAGCAAAACTAGTGTTATATAAACATTAACAAAATAGTCATTATGTTTGTTACACCTTCCTTGGAAATATATTCAACTTTGTTACAGTGAAGACCCTCGTAGTAAATTGGAAGAGAGATCTTCATTCGTATGACGAGAATTTTAGGTACGCCCGTTTATGGTAACAAATTACGCCAAAGCGAAAAACCTCAGTAGCATTTCCGATTGCCTGGGATTTCAATTTACCCCATTTATCTCTCTTATTTCAGTCAGTGGGTGAAGATCCTTTCATTAGTTCAACGAGAATTTCAGGTACCCGTTTACAACAGCAAGTAACGCTAATTTCACATTGCTTAGGGTTTTCTCTTTAACTTATTATATATTTCTCAGAAAATCTAAGCTGATATTGGCACACGCACTATATGTAACAAAAGAAATAATAATATAATATAACCAACGTACATAACAATGGTGTATTCCCGGGGATTTATAGTAGATTTATGGTAGATTATTACGCGGCGATGTTAATGCACAAATAATTCAATTATGGTGATTGGACATCAATTTCAAAATTGACAATTTAATGTAATTCGATTTAATTGGAGGATTACATTTAGAGCATCAATTAAACTAAAATTATAAAATAATTTGTGGTTTTTCGACAGACACCATTCTGAGTAAACTCTCAATATTGACATCACGCTGATGTATTCAGCTGACGTCATAGCAAGGGGTGTTATTTTACATCTGACATTAGTGATGTTACTGGGAAATTTTAGCTCTCATAGTTATCCCTAATAAAAAAAAATGTTGCCAACACAGTTTGTTATTAGTCTCAGGGTTTGGATGGTGACAGTGAAACCGTTTATATGTGCGACCAGATTATGGCTGCTTAAACTACATTACTCACGATTTATAATAACATGCTGTCTAATTAGTGAAACTGATTACATTTATGAAATAAATCACACTAGTAACACCAAACTTGGGTTATCCGCATGTAAATTTCGTTTTGAATTCACCATTCGCGAAATTGACCGCACATATTATTTCCCTCTTTTTCACAAATACTGATCAAAGCCTTTAAAAACCTAGAAGTGTGTCTATTTGGTTAAAAATGAAAATTTAAAGGATATTCTAGACAGAATGGAGGGAGAAAATGAAAACATTCAAAAATGATAATTGATTTGTCTTCCATAAATTAGATGACGAAGTACTAATTCGCTGATAATCTGACGTAACATCATCATTTTTTTATTCAGACGTTTTACATTCACTTATAAACCTTATTAGGTTGCTAGTTAGGAGAATAATTTCCCACGACTGTGAAATGAAATTGAACTCAATATGGGTGTTTTCTTTTTTATCTTTAACCCTCTGAACGCTATATTTTTCCGTAACATTCTGCACATTTGTATTTTTTTTCAAAGGGTTACAGATCTTAGTTTGTGTCTTATGTGGAATGTTGTTTAAACAAATGTTTAAGCATGGCAAATATTATCTATCTGTGATCTGTCGTCTTTTTCTGTTTGAGGAAACACGCTCTCACGTGGTTTGCGTTGTCAAAACAATGTTAGACATTACAATCTGTTACACCATACAGCTGTTCTAGTCAAACCCGTATGGAAATGTGTCAAAGTAACGTTTAACGCCAAAATTCGACTTTTATAAGGAAGTCCTAATTTGGAAGAACACTACAAATAAAATGATGACATTTGATCAATACATTCATCGTCACGGATGCATCGATTTTTTAAATTGATTTGTGCCAGGCGGCATTTGTCTCTCTCGACATGTTTTAAGAGCAAATTGCAAGTGATAGTGCTGACACATAGTGTTTGGAACTTAGATGACATGGCTGTGCGGCTATTTCCCTGGCAATGGCAATTCAATGCGCTACCCTGGCGTCAACCAGACCCGGTAGAACACAAGCATCTGCGAACCTTAAAGCGGGAGGGTCGTCACCAGCGCACGCGCGGGAATTGAGTCCCAAGCGACGATAACAACACACGCTAAAGGCTCATAGGTAGACGCTTGTTTGTAAACAATGACACGCTATGGCCATCTGACGCATGCGCAGGTGACGACACCCCCGCTTTAATCAAGGTTCCCCCAAAGTCGCATATGTTAGTGAATGAATCTCGCCAGTAGAATTGACCTTACCATTAAGTCTGTGGCACACACCCCAGGACAGGGGTCGACCATTTTGGTGTTCAGCCTAAGGTAGGTTTCGAACTTGGGTACTACCAGTGACCGATGTATTGTACATGTGAAAATACTATATTTCTATGCAGGACAGATGGATGTAACGAACAATGGAATGGTGACACGTGACCGAAGTAGATTTGTAAAGATCGCCTCGAGTCGGGATCACCACGTGATATAATACAATGCGTGGATTTATATCATTTGTGAGGTACATTCAAGGTTATTAATACATGTATATGACGCCTGTGTATAACCTCGCCAAAAATTGTTTAATTTCTCCATCATGACAGTCAAGTATTGTGGTTAATGTAGTTAATGTGAGCTGATTACTGCGGAAAACTGAACACTTCTCTTATTTAGTATGATAGCCCAAACCAAAACTACTGCAAGATTGTTATTCCAGGTGGGTACACCTATACATATTAGGTACTTCATTTAAGCAATTTTTCATTAGTCAGATACGAAATAAAAAAAATGGGGTGACAAGTTTCAGGTTATATGCCAGTGCCTCGGAGGCGAGCCATGGCTTTGGAGGCAACCGTAAGCTGTGCCACTGCCTCTGAGGTGAATACGTTGGAGGCGAGTCGTAGCCTGTATCAGTGCGTCGAAGGTGGTGGGTTGTTTCAGTGTCTCGGAGGGGTCGCAGATGAGTCCTAGCTTGTATCAGTGTGTTGGAGGCGAGCCATGGCATTGTAGGCAAGTCCGAGCTAGTATCGGTGTCTTGGAGCGTACCATGGCGCCATCAAAGGCAAAACATACCCTTTATCTCAGCGAGCAATGTCAAGTATTTCATCGTGAACAATTCTGTTCTTTATATATAAATAATTGACTCCATTTTGGCATGAAAAATTAGATTTGGGTCTAAAATAACTTGTACAGAATAACTGATACATTTCTTAGCCAACACACAACTTAGATACACATGGCGATATTATATATTGCATGCCTATTCGGTATATTTCTGAATCATGGTATTAGCGTAAACAAAGATTGCTCGTTACAAACACAATATATTGTGTCCATTTTGGGAACCTGTTAGTTATTGATCTGTATGGTAAATACAACTGATGTGTCGTGGCTGAAAATAGATAAATTTGCCAAATGGAAGCACTATAAAAATAGCTAAAATACGGAATAGAGAAATGGTCGCGAAAAGTTCCATGATTATTTCACAGTTTTGCTAATTTGTTTTAATTTCCGTATTTGGTTAATTTCATCACAATAATAACACTTATATAAACAAACTTTGATTTATCATTTTGTTCCATGGCAATAGTCCTAGCTATTTTTGGATGATATTTGTCCCAATTTTTGAAAATTTATAGAACACAAAAAAAAAGTATTCACCGTTCATGCTGGTCCCAACGGTCGACATTGAGTTCTGCAAAGTCATTCAACCAATGATTTCCAGAATTATGACCTACCTTCTTTTTATAACATTATTTTCCTTCCACCCTATTATCCATACTGAAAATATATAACATGACTACTACTCCAATTCCATTAAATGCACACTAAACCATGTTATATAACATACACAAAATATTTAATATAATTATTTTTTCGATATCTATATTATTTACATTCTCGGTAATAAATATCAAAACGACCCAAATTAATGGCCAGAAAAATCAGTATCTCATTCTGTTCAGTATTCTTCAAAATTTCATACACAAATATAAACTATCGGTGTGTATGATGTACGGACGTCGCTGGTCGAATACTGTCGGCGGCTAGGCGAAGTAAATTCAAATTGTGGATATGAGGTACTCGTAGAGGTGGCATACTTATATTTGGACTCGGCATCCTGGTCATACTTCCCAACGTACTTGCTACACTGAAATTTGTAAAGAAAAAAGTGTTATATAGTGTTGTTATTAAGTGTATGATAGGCTATTACCGTTTTTTTATTATTATTTCAAAAACTTGAACGAAGTAAAAATGACAATGTGTGTGTGGGGGGGTGTGTGCGTGGGTGTGTGTGTGTATGTGTGTGTGTGTGTGTTTAATTATGAATTGATTATGGCCTTACCTGGTATATGGCATAGCGTGGTGAGGTACTATATGAGAGGATGGTGGTGACGTGATAAATCTATTGCCGATTGATTCTCCAAGCACGTCATTCATAGATTGGTATTCTGACGTTGGTAATCCATACATATGTTGTCGCATCCATGCCATACGACCTTCTTTGTGAGTCTTCTTAAATTTGGCACGGCGATTCTGAAACCAGATCTGAACAATAAAAAGAAAGATGGTTAGATGATGTTTGAATACTAGACCATCTATAGATTCAAGATGAATGTGCGTGTGTGCGTGTGACATTCGCAGAAATAAAACTACTATGTTGTACTGGATAAAGACAGAATGAAGTAATTCATACCTGTACTCGTTCTTCGTCGAGTTTTAATTTGTCAGCTATATCCTCGCGAACTACTAGATCCGGGTACTGTTCCTGGCTAAATATACGTTCGAGGGCATCTAACTGCTGCCTGCTATAAGTCGTCCTGGATCTTCTTGATTTCCTCGTCTTCTTGGTCGATGAACTAGACGAGTCCTCTCCATCGTCACCGGAACTGCTTTCTGAAATATTAAGATAGTATCCCACCTCGTGTTGGTTGATTGGCATTGTAGAATTCAACGGATCGTTATCTGAAGAGAAGCAACATGATAAAACAAAAACAATTAATTTCATCTTCAAATGTTATCGAACAGTTGGATACATGTTTAACAATAAACAATCTAAAGAAAAGAGTTTTGATGCCATCAATTCAGCACGTGTTCGGACAAAGCTTAGTGGAAACCCCGGGTGTATTATTGAAAACATTTTCAACGCGATAGATAGATAGTGCTATTTAAACAGCGTCATTTGTATAAAAAAACACATACGACGAGGGCCTGAATTTGTTTCAATTTACTTATTCAACAAATGCTGATGGCGTCGCTGTTTTGTATCAGTTTCACCCTTAGTATTGGCAAGGTCAGAGTGCAAGACTTACGGATTTCAAAGTAACAATAATTTGACAGACGCTACACGCGTCTCTAATGTTACCACCTGTTCCGGGTTATCATGCTGCAGTGCACATCACATTTACATGTTCAAGGTTGGGTGATCCATTGTTCGAAATTAGCTATTTGAAAGGAACAACTTGGCCCTTAGTGAGGTAGTTGTTTGACATCCAATTGGAAGTGAATAGAAACCCTATTATGGCCAATTCCAATATTAGTCTGTGCCCACTAATTAGCCGATACTGTTTGTTAGCTATTCAAGTAAATCTAACTTTCTTTTATTGCCGCCATGTTCTTCCCACCCCTCTTTAACTTGAAAGGATGCAAAGTAAACCGTATTTGAATTTCCGATTTAATTTCTGGTGCGCGACATCTTTCCTTCAATCATCGCCGTGACGTAAGCGTATTTACTTTTTTGTTTTTATAATGTAAAGTGAATTAGTGATTTTTGTATTTTATTTTTTTGGAGAATGTATTCAGGAATATACAATCACGTGGTTGTACAATATATATTGTGTATCATTTCACACATGGAAAGGTCTTTTAATCGCGTCCTAAATTAAAATGACCCAAATTGAAGTTTCAGCTTGGGTGGACTAAGTGAACGACGTATAAGTCTCTCACCCTGCCTTTATATTTAATCGTGTGAAAATGTCGCGCTCGAAGGTCGCACGTTTTACATATCCTACCTATCTAAAACGGTGCCATTGCCGCTGCTGCATCCATGATGAAATAGATTCTGCCATTATGTTTTATTAATTAAAAAAACATTCGAAACAAACTTATTTCATTCGTTAATTCGAAGATTAGAAGTTATATCATGGTTTTCGTGAAATCATTACAAAATATAGTTGCTGAGCGCACTATTACAATTAAATATTGTCATCAAATCATGGTAAAAAGGCAATTTAAATAGCATGTTCTCGGCGGCATTTAATTTTAACTTACCCTTAATATTGTCGTCCTTGACTTCGAGATGCACATCCTTCGTTTCAATCATTTCATTCTGTCGCATTTGGTTCGATTTACTGCAATCTTTGTTAGGCGTCGATACACACTTCTTTCCATCGGTCTGTATTTCCGGCAAAGAAACGGGTTTCGATGGAGGCGCAGCGACTTCGACACCCAATATGGCGTTTATTGTGAACGACGTCGATGCTCGGCCGACCATCGTATCAGTCACGGGACCGCTACGCCGGTGTTCTCCAGAAAGAAGGCGAGACTCACTTTCAAATCCGGTAATATTACGTGAACGACAGGGGAGAACTGGGCCAGTGCGGAACATGCCTATTACACAAAATACGAGTGTAATGTTTGAAGCAGGTCGTTGAGCTCAGTACATGTGTAAAAACAGATGATGATGCACCGCAAATATAATGAATGTGTTTTGTACTAGTTTTAGACGACGGGTTCACGAACCGTTGGCCCTTTGCTGCGTGAGTGTTATGCCAATGATAGTGAATGATCTGTTCGTACTAGCTGTTTTCTCTTTTTCTCACTTTAATTATAACAACAACAACAATGCAATTACGTGACACACTATTTGTCATCCTATCAGAATCCAGCAATTTCATCTCGGATAATTGGTATAGCAGCGGGCGTGGTCAGTCATTGGTTGATCGTCAAATAATAGCGAGGCTAATTGAGCGCTTAGCGATGTTATTTCGTTGTTGTTGTCAGGGGGGTAATTAACTTATTGTTCGTGAAAGGCATTGTACCATTTGTTACTCCCGAGATAATTAGCTACGAATCAAGGCATGTTCTCTGCATACACACACGCACACACACACATACACGCTTGTCTTTTCAGAACGAGTCAAATGTGAAGAAAAAAACGGAAGTTTCATCTACCAAACAATTTTAGAAATCATTAACTCGTGTGTTACAATTAGATTATCTAATGTAAAAACCGAATAGAATTAATCATAATTAGTTGTTGTGGCTTAGTTCCGAGAAGATCAAATTAAACCGTATTCCGTACTTTGTATCCAGCTAAACCGCATAATAAATGGAAGCAGCTGTTGTCGCTGTAATTCATGAAATGATGAGGTGTACTTGTACGTTCATGATGAAGGCAATATTTGAATTAAATTGATATTATATATGCTATTTTAAGAGAAGCAATAGTTAAACACGCAGGTTTGTGCTGTGCATATATATTACGGTACAACCTGTTTTAATTTCTCATTGTGCACAAATTATTAAAAAATAAAATATATAAAAGTACACATTACACCACAACCGATCGGATAATGATCAGTGTACTAATTTAAAATCAGTAGTGAGTTGTCGCAGAGTTGTTTCCGTCGTTCATCTTCATCGGGGTGGGACACTTTGTGAAGATTCAATCCCAGATATTATATAATTAATATTCCAATTACAATTATTGTATTCGCCATGTATTAGTTAATTGTCCATTTAACTCATATTTCAATTAAATCACGTGACTATTTAGCTTGAAATCGATTTGGAATATCATTCCTCACACTACACCGAATTTGATAGAGCAAATGGAAATTAATATTATTTTATTTGACGACACTTCTGCATAAGCAATATATATTAAGTATATTAAGTACATCAACCTATTTATTAATAATAACATACGTCAGTTTCGTATTAGATAAAAGTAGGCAGGGAAGAGATGCTTTCTATATTTATATATAAAAAGTGTGGGTTTATAACAACACGATGTTTTTTTAATTTTTAATTGAATTACGCGTTCGGCTTCTGTAGTACATACCACATGGCATTAAAAATTGACACATTTTTACCAAATCGTTGACATTTTTATGTGTCCAAACCCGTTTCCAAAGTCACGCCATTGCCAATAAATAATGAATGACTCGAGATCGGCGTTATATCACATGTTACAATAACACGAGATATAGTTGTTTATGTTAAGCAATCGACACAGTTCTTATAATTAGACTTGTCCACTTGAACCACCAATTCACTTTCTCATCGATACTCATAGTAGCTTTGTTTGAAGTACACTTTTGTACTTTGTGCATTTAAGGGTGGTGCATGGGAGGAGATTTCAGTCTTAATCTACCAAGTAAAAGATGTGATTGTCCATTTGTTGTCGCCTCCTACTAATTTCCGTCTCTTTGATGGACAAAATCCAATGAATATATTGTTCGTACACAATTGTTGTTAAATTGCCCTGACAGTATCGAAAATATAATTGCTTGTAGACACATATATATCATCCAATATGTTTATCTCATATCCGGCGTTTTCTTTTCAAGCATGCAATCAAACCACATAGGCATGTGATCCGACCTCTTATCGGTGTTCAAATCCAACAGGAGCTCGCTCAACTTTCTCAACTTTCAACTCATCCAGTCAGTTATGAGTAACAACCACGTGATCAGCGGTGATTATACGTGGTATAACGAATGTAATATACACTTATCCAATATCTCTCACTACCATTCAATTAATTTTTCCATTCTCGAATTGCTATGACGACCGCGTGGTCATTTTAGGCCAATGGGAATATTAATAATAATATTAAACAAAGTGCGTTGTATTTCACATTACTTGACACGGTTTCGTCACCATTGAAATATTAAATGAATGCGTTAAACTGTGTTTAAGTCACAAATGGCCGTGTAGTCGTTTCCATGACAATTGATCATCGAATTTATTTGAGTAACAAAATGCATGGCGCAATAAGTTCACGTATACGGTTTGTGGGCTTCAAAGTGCGTGTCATAGGTTGTTCAATTACGTCAGTAACGCTGTAGACTGGTTTGAAGTTTGTGCATGATACACATCAACAACGTCACACATTTGTACTACAAGTCAAACATTCACCTGTCAACACTTGGTGTTATATCAAATATATATTAGATGATTATCTTAGCTGTTTTATAACAACCAACTACGAACAAAGACGACAGCATGGAGGGTAATTATGACGTATTTGAACAAAATATACCACGTGACACGGAAATATGTAAATTGACCATGGTCAATGCACGAACTTGATGGATGCATATAAATATGACTTCATAAATACGTGATACCATTGTACAAGCATAATAATGGTGCAGCATGTTTGCTGCAACTGTAAGTATCAAGACCCTCATTTTATTGATGAAATGCAACTAAAGAAAGTTGTCTTGGGAAGAAGATGAAAATTAAAAACATTATTTGTAAAGAATAATGTCCGATCATTACTACACAATACCCAATCATAATTCCGGTAAACGGAAATAATCGGTAAATAAAAAATAATTCTTTTATTTAGACACAAAAATATAATATACTTGAAGGTATTACTAGTATTTTATGAGTACAATTTCTAGTATTTGCGAAAGACGGAAAAGACACATGGTTGTCACACCGAGCACAACGCAGGAAAGTGAAATTGCAGTTTTGACAAACTCAGTGAACAGCTACAATTATATAAAATAAACAATCAATTCATCATGTATATTTCAAATTATAAGCGATATTTCTTTCAAACTGAAATGAACGAGGAACATGCATATAATTAGTATGTATCAAGAATGGAGACAATGACATTAATACAATTATAACATGGAACTACGAATATCGTCTCATAACTGAATCGCCCTTGAAAATCAAGACCTAATTTAGTATCACTATTATTTAGGTGATTATTAAACAAAAGAATGTCGATTTCACGCCTAATTATCGGCGACGCATCATCATCGAATACAATATTGGGTTAGGCAAACCACTTAGTACAGTACCATGCGCTATCACATTTGGGTTTAGCGTTTTCTTTTTTTCAAAATATATGATAAAATATTGCTGTCACTCTAGTCAAGTTTGTTATTGGTTTCATTATTAATGCCTAGTAATTTATTTAAATATTTACACATCGATTAGACAGTATGTTGTGTCTTTAAACGTTAATACAGATTATGACACCACAAACGTGACGTAATCCTACTTGAGACACATGTACGTGTTCAGTATACCGTGAGAATTAATCGATAATCTGATCCCACTAACTCGTCAAATTAAAGTTATAGCATAGTTTGGTAATACTGTTAAACAGAAATAAACTATCGATACAACTGGTCATGCACAATAATGGATGTACATTTCTATATATTTAAAACATTATTTTATATTCATTTCACGATACCCTACATTTTGTATGATGTACATTTGTATATTATTTCTCGTACATAATTGTTATTTCGATTACTCCACGAAATCGTCACTGACACTTAGATGATTAGGTCAATTGGTTGATCTCCATATAAGACTTGAACGCGATTTGTTAATAGATAACATGAATAGATCAGATGTAGTTCGAAGCAATGTGCCGACCGGCGACTGGAATTATAGGCGGTGAAAGCATATACTTATATCGGTTTAGATTATCTATGTCGTTCATCCGAATAAAAGACCTATCTGAAAATAAAGCAGTCTAACCAAATACCAAACCGTTGGAACGAACACCAGACTGCCCATCTGACTAACAAAACCGAAATGTTGCTTTCTGATAATTTCTGAAAAATTCAAATACCTGCTGAGTTTGAAAATGTTTGAAAGTATATGGCATATTGGCTGACACATTATAAAATGTTTGTATTCCACTATGGGGTGAGACACATACAAGCTATCTTGTTATGTTTTTTTCAAAACAAAACAAGATATTATATTCTACAGTGGCGGAGTTAGCACACTAATCACGCAAGTATGCACAGTTTATCTTACTCGGGTGATGAATATAAAACACTTTCCAGTACAACGAGCATAGAACCTTAACTGTATCAAAGAAAAATACACTTTAAGGGGGTGGAACAGACATAATGACTTGGAAGACTGTTTTGTTACTGTTCAGTTTCAGTATACGGGTGTCAGAGTAATTAGACCGTCACAAACTAACATTGAATTAGGACGTAATGAGGTATCTATTCACTGGTAATTAGCTGTTAATTAGTGTGTTTTTCCAAGCACCTAATACATGTTTTTTCGTTGCTTATTGTTTTCTGCTATTTTGTTGTTGTTGTTGACAATTCACTGATGAGTTTATTGTTCAGAGCGCCACGTGATACAAATAAACAAAACGTAATGAGTTCCGTAGCAACGCGTGTATCACGTGACATGCGGTTTACATGTATATCGATGTGTCTCAAATGACGTGTACTGCATATTCCTTTTAGATGTAGATATAATGTC